CCCCCACTATCCTGGGAGTTCCTCAAGGGCAGGGACTGTATCTGCCATCGCCGTATGTCCCTAATGTTGGCTTATTGCCTGCCGATTTGTAGATCCTTAATTTCTTTTAAATGAATACTTGCATTTATTTACTTCTTATGAAGTCAGCAGGGAAATATGTTATACACCAGCAGCTTTTACCTTGCAAGGGCAAGGAAATCCAGACTGTGATTGGGATCCTCATTTTTGGAACTGACTGTGTCATTGGGGAGCACGGTGGAGGTGGTGGACTGGGGATAGTCTGCAGGAAGAAAGGAAGTAGGGTGTTACAGAATTTAGCAGCCAGTAGGTTAAGTTGCCATTTCAAGGCAGTACAGGCAGCTGTTTGGCAGATGATATATAATACATTGCTATGAACATTGATATGCCTGTTTCTGTGGTAATGTTCTGAAGAAAACATAATAAAGATAGGCTCCATGCAGCTTTTGTGATAGTTATACTTAAACTCTACATCAAATTGAATTTCTTTTTCTTTAAGATATAATGACGTTTTTATGCTCTTGTCTAAATGTGTTTGTAATGATTTTCCTCTAAATCAAGAGTTCCTTCTCAGCTATGAGTTATCTCACTTTTTCTGAGGGTTGCATGATTTTTTGGGTATTCTTACCAGAAGTTTGATTGTAACAAAGTAATTTTTGTTAGCTGTATTCTAGAGTGGGCCTGAAAGAGGGAAAGATAATTTTCTTTTAGTTGTGTTTTAGCCAGATTTAACATTCTATTTAATATATTTTTAAGAAAGTTGTAGTACACTAACCATAGAGGTACATATATTAACAATATAAAGTGTCATTTTTTTCCTCCAGTTTCACTCAAATATTTTCTATTTGCTTAGTGGTAACCATTATAATGATTCAGCCAACAAGTGTTTGTGGAGTACCTCAGCAGTCAGCCTATGTTGAGGACTATTAAAACAACATGACAGAGTGCTTCTAAGTGTGTTGCTCACTGTGTTAACACCGGGAGGGCAGCACCAGATACCAACATCCTGTAATTTTTTTTTCAACTTTCTATAATTTCTGTGAACAAACCTCCTTCCTGTGTGCAGAAGTATAAAAGGGTGTTTTTGCTTATCTGCTGTTAAAGAAAATAGTTGCATTCTTATGTAGAAATAAACAATGATATTTAAAATGTATTAAAATTGCATTACAATGCTATTTATTCTATGCTGAACTTAACCTAAGCACTGGTATCTCAGTTCCCATCCTAGCAGATTTAATTACTGAAGCACCTTACAAGAGTCCTCCATAAATTCATTGACAGAATAATTGTTACGTGCCAGGCAATCATTTGTTCATTTGTTCATCCTTTTAATGAAACCATTTGTTGAGCATCTACACTTCCCAGTGCACTGCGCTTAGGATATCCGGGGAGAAACAGCAGCAATCCCTGCCCTCCAGGAGGTCATAGTCTCATGGAAGAAATAAGTAAGCAGATAATTATAACAAGGGACACCTAATTAAAACAGGGTGTAGTAGAGTTGGCATTGAGTTGAGTCTTAAAAGGAATCAGGGCCGGGCACGGTGGCGCACGCCTGTAATCCCACCACTTTGGGAGGCCGAGGCGGGCGGATCACAAGGTCAGAAGATTGAGACCACAGTGAAACCCCGTCTCTACTAAAAATACAAAAAATTAACCGGGCGCAGTGGGGGGCGCCTGTAGTTCCAGCTACTCGGGAGGCTGAGGCAGGAGAATGGCATGAACTCGGGAGGCGGAGCTTGCAGTGAGCCGAGATCTGGCCACTGCACTCCAGCTTGGGCAACAGAGCGAGACTCCGTCTCAAAAAAAAAAAAAAAAAAAAAAAAAGAGGAATCAGGCATATTGCACCAGATAAAAAGCAAGAAAAGCATGAAGAAAAGGGTTCCAAGCACAGAGAGAAGCATGTGTAAAGTCACAGACAGATGAAAGCATGTCACATGCACGAGCATTATCTTCATAAGTAATTAGTTACCCTACTGAACTCATTTCATAATTTGATAATTTAGAGAATGAGCTATTTTATATCTGTAGAACAAATTTTTACCAATTTCATAAAATTCAGTATTGCTGTAGAATGCCTTTAATCCTTGACCAAAAGCATTTTCTGACTCTGAATTTGTCTCTGTCAACTATTTGCATCCTAAATTACTCACACTTATTAGCTCTTTATTTCCTGTCCCATCAGTGTTCAGTAGATTGTATATATCCCCATTTGTTGTCCTGCGTTGCTGATGTGTACTGACTATGTTGGTAGCATGTCCCATTATTAACCAGTATTATCGGGTGTCAGTTTTTCATTAAACTCTGGTTGACTGTTGATGTAACCATTATTTATAATTGAAAAAGAGAAAAAAAAAAAACAAAGCAAAAAAAAGAGATGACCGTTTTCTCTAATATTAATATTGAGGTTAAGTAAATTAATGTACATCTACTAGAAGTAGTATGGGGCTATGAAAGGTGGTAGTATGTTAGGGCATTCAGGCTGCTATAACAACATGCCTTAGACTGGATAACTTATTAACAACAGAAATTTCTTGCTCACAGTTCTAGAGGCTGGGAAGTCCAAGATGAGAGTGCCAGCAGATTTGGTCTGATGAGGCCCTATTTCTCATAGATAGTTCCTTCCATGTATGCTTGTCTGGTGGAAAGAGTGAACAAGCTCACTGGGTCTGTTTTATGAGGCCACCAATGCCATTCATGAGGGCAAAGCCCTGATGACCTAATCCGCTCCCAAAGGCCCCACTTCTTAATACTGTCACGTTGGGGATTAAGTTTCAGCATATGATGAAAATTTGGGGAACAAACATTCAGACCATAGCAGATGGGAATAAAGGTGGGGAAAATGGTTGCAGTAGAGCGATAGAAGAGTAAGTGAAATGTAATGAAATTGCACCTACGTTTGAGATTTTTAAGGCTTTTAAAAATTATATATGAATAAGGCTATAAGAAAAAAAAACCAGAATGCTAAAAAAAAAAAAAAAAAACCAGAATGCTAACCCTGGTTGTGTTAGGGTGGTAGATTTAAGGATATGTTTTCTGAGCTTTTCTTTTTGCTCAGCTTTTTATGGATAATGTGGTTATAATGCTCTCATAATAAAATATGATGATTTACAATGGCAATACAATTTTTTATTGCTATTATTTGGAAGCAACAGTATGAAATATTTTGTGTGAAAGCATTGTGTTGTTTGAAGTCTAATGAAAATATATTTATCCAAAAATACAGGTTTTCATTTTACCCAATCTCTACCCTTCCCCAATCCATACTAGATTTAAGTTCTTTGAGAGTTTTTCCAAATAAAAGGAAGATTTTGTCTACTTTTAAGATCCTGAAGTTCTTGAGTATAATCTCCCTCCTCCCTTTTTTTAAAGAACTGAAGAGAGAAAACAATTCCTCTTTTGATCATTTCTGTAAGCACTTTTGAAACTTATAATAAGGTACTAATTCAGCCAGATAATTGAATGCTCTCCACCCCATACTATTGAACTTATAGGTTCTGCATTCTCATATCTAGAGCGCTGACCACTCCATTTCTCTTGCGTATAGTGAGCCTTCTCCACCTAGGTTCCCTGCTCCCTGAACACAAGGGCAGCCCCGCTTTTTACAGTACACCTTATTTAAGCTTTACATCAGTTTTGTGAGAAAGGAGGTATCATTTCCACTTACAGGTAAAACCTGATTTTTGTTGTAATCACCATGACCTTTTTGTGATTTTTCTTTCAAGTTAAATTAGGCAGGACCTGTTGGAGAGTCCAGATGTTGATGCCTTGAGGGTAGGATCCATACTTGACTCAGCCCCTTTTTTTGACACAGATTAGGCAGGTTTACCTGCTCATGTAGCTTTTGCCAATTTCTTATTCAGCTTCTTTTGAAATATCTTCTCATTTTGAGTGTGTGTTACCTGCCTTTTCCTCATTTTACGTGTTCTTTTCTTTGCTTGTTTTTTTGTTTTTGTTTGTTTTCTGTTGTGTTTTTTTGAGACAGGGTCTTGCTCTGTCTCTCAGGCTGGAGTGCAGTGGCACAGTCTCTGGTCACTGCAACCTGCACCTCCCGGATTCTTTTTTTTTTTTTTTTTGGTGAGATGGCGATTTACTGTTGTTGCCCAGGCTGGAGTGCAATGGCGTGATCTCAGCTCACTGCATCCTCCACCCCCCAGGTTCAAGTGATTCTCCTGCCTCAGCCTCCCGAGTAGCTGGGATTACAGGCATGCCACCACGCCCGGCTAATTTTGTATTTTTAGTGGAGACGGGGTTTCACCGTGTTGCCCAGGCTGATCTCGAACTCCTGATCTCAGGTAATCTGCCTGCCTTGGCCTCACAAAGTGCTGGGATTACAGGCGTGAGCCACTGTGCCCTGCGCACCTCCTGGATTCAAGCGATTCTCATGTGTCAACCACCTTGAATAGATGGGATTACAGGTGTGTGCCACCACCTGGCTAATTTTTGTATTTTTAGTAGAGATGGGGTTTCACCATGTTGGCCAGGCTGGTCTCAAACTCCTGACCTCAAGTGATCCACCCTGCTCGGCCTCCCAAAGTGCTGGGATTACAGGCGTGAGCCTCTGTACCCAGCCTTCTTTGTTTTTAGTTTTGTTTTAAGAAATTCCTTTAAAGTTCATGTTAATGTTTGAGCTGTAGTTCTCATGGCATGGAGATTTTGTGAGCAATAAGAAAATCTATTAGGATTTTTTAGTTAATGCTTGATTTTAAACGTGGAGATAAACGTAAGTGGAAAATATGAGAAGAATAAAGAACATGGATTTTCTGTTATTCAAAGAAAATTTAAAAAAAAATTTTTTTTTGCATTTAGCAAAATCTATTTTAAATGTTTATGGCAAAGTAACAGATAAGCCTCCTTTTCCACATTTGTCTAGTATATTATAATGAATGATCAGATGGATTTGCATGCAAAGGGTAGGAGTATAGAACTCCATGAAGAACTTCTCTAGACCATCTCTTTCTTGTTTGCACTTGTTCCTTTTTCAGTGTGTGGATCTGAGCTGTAATGAGCTAAGCGAAGTCACATTACCAGAAAACCTGCCTCCCAAACTGCAGGAGCTAGACCTGACCGGAAACCCTCGCCTTGTCCTTGATCACAAAACCCTGGAACTACTGAAGTAAGTGTTCTATAAAGCACTGTATCCCCATCATTGTCCACTGGCAGTGGGCTTCATATCTCAGTGAAAATGGGAAACAAAACATGAAGCATCATTGACTTGTTAGCTGTGTTAACACACATAACAGGATATACAAGATGCAGGGAAGCAATGAACAACCAAGATGTAACTTAAATCTCAGTAGTCACTGATAACGTGGTTGTGACAGTTAATGCAAATGTTAAGGAAGGATTTTAAAAGAGATGTAGGGAAAACTAACAGTGTGGCACTGAAATCCAGGTTTTTTTAAATAAGACTGAGGATGTGGAGTAGGTAGATCCTACCAGCAGTTAGATCTTCACGGTATGGGAAAGAGTTCATTGATGCTGTTTCATTCTTGATATTGATAAAGAATTAGTGGTTGGAGTTTTCTATGTAAAACCTTAAAGGTCTGCAGTAGGAAAGATATCTTAATAAGAATGTTCATCATAGAACTCTAAATAGTCTATTAAGAATTAAATAATGTTCCACAATTGAATATTACAAAGCCATTTAAAATTATTTAGAGCTATATCGCTAACTCAAAAGATCTTTACAGTATATTAAGTGAAAATATTAATAAAATTAACAAAGAAGTTTTATAGTATAATTCAATTTTTGCAATATAAATTTGTGTGCATTGGGTATATGTATATGTGTATGCATACACACACCTAGAAAATGCCTAAAAGGATATATAACAAAAGTTAAAGTGGTGTTATTCTCTGGATAATAGTATTATGGGTAGTGTTTATTTTCTTCTTTAAACTTTTCTGAATTTTCAGAATTTTTTGGGGTATATCAGATCAGTAGTAGTTTTAAACATTGTCATACATTAGTCATTATGCATGCAATATATGTTTATTCAATGTTGGAATATTTGTTGCTGAAAGTCATTTTCCATTATTTTAAGAAAATCAGTAAAAAACAGTAGATTTTTGGTGAATGGTCCATTAATACTATCCTAGGCTGTAGTGCAAACCAAAGTTTGAAAAGCACTTAAAGTGATTCCTGGATAGAATTGGCCTAATTAGTGCCTAATTTGTTGGCATTTTAAGTACTTGATGAGAAAATTAATTTTGATGCATAGTTAAAAAAAACTGCCTGAGTGTCCTGAGGAAGGCGTAGAGAACGAGGTTCTCTCCGTTGTTGATCACGTGTATGAAACCTTGGCCTAAACCCCTCCATCTGTCCAGACCTATGAGAAAAAAAATGGCCTACATGATCTTTAAGGTGCTTTTTAAATTCAAGAAAATAATGGATTATCAAAATAGGTCATCTTTAAACAGATAGCTTTTGAGTATTTTTTACATGTAGGATACAGACATTTTTGAGCATTCTTTACAAATAAAATTGAAAAATAATTGCACCAAAATGTGTTAATAAATGGAAGTAGCCACTTAGAGGAAAATTAAAGTTACATTCTTATATCACACCAAAATCCAGCTGAAATAGTTGAATCTGTAAAATTAAATGATTTTCAAAAGTAATAAGGAATCATGTGAATATCTTCACAAGTTAGAAAAAGACTTTTTAGGCCAAGAAATGAAGGGAGTAAGTGGCAAGAAAAGAAATCAGTACATGTAGATTGGTTTCAATATTTACATTGCATATGTTTACATGTAAATATACTTTTTATACATTAAAGTGTTAAATGTCTATTTCCTATTTCAGAAACTCAATAAATATAAATGGCAAATGACAAACTGGGAAGAAAAATATGAAAAAAGCTTTAATATGCTTACTATAAAGTGTTCTTATAAGATAAGTACTTATAAGAAAAGTACTCAAACAGAAAATAAACAAAGGACATTAACATTTAACAGAAACAGTACAAATAGTTACATGAAAATGTGTTCAAACTCATTAGTATATCAAGTAAATACAAAATAAAATACTTGAATAACATTTTCCCCCTCAAACTGGTGCTGCTGAAGGACCGTAATTTGGTATTACACTCTTCTTAAAAGCAGTTGCTGTACTGTGTCAAGCTTTTTAAAATATTCACGTACTCAGACCAAAGTGTCCTGCAGCAAAAAATTGTAATATTCTTAAAATGTCACCTTCCATTTAACATCTGGAAGGCTGTGTATTCTTAATTACTTGGAAGATTTTCCGTATATTATTTGCACTTTTAGAGGGTTGGTTTATTTGTTTTATGTGAGCCGGGTAGGTGCATATGAGGACTCTTCTGTGAGATTGAGCTGTGGTTCACAGAATTCTCTCTGACTCATTTAAAGATCTACAAGATGGCCAGGCACAGTGGCTCACGCCTGTAATCCCAGCACTTTGGGAGGCTGAGGTGGGTAAATCACCTGAGGTCAGGAGTTGAGACCAGCCTGACCAACATGATGAAACCCCGTCTCTACTAAATACAAAAAAATTGGCAGACAAGGTGGCGCATGCCTGTAATCCCAGCTACTCGGGAGGCTGAGGCAGGAGAGTCGCTTGAACCTGGGAGGTGGAGGTTGCAGTGAGCCGTGTTACGCTATTGCACTCCAGCCTGGGCAACAAGAGCAAAACTCCATCTCAAAAAACGACGACATACAAGAGTCAGCATTCAGTTCACTTCGGATAACTGCTCAGCCGCACTGTGTTCAGCTAGACAGAGAAGAGAAATTGCTGCTTCACTAGAAAGAATTATTTGTGTGCTGGGGAGAGGGGGCAGTTAAGAGTTATTTTTTTTTTCCTTTAATAATCAGGTTAGGAAATTGAATTATTTCTCTGAAGACTTTATGTTCTGTAAAAATTATAAATGCCTTTAAAAATGAGCCTTCACTTTTCCCAAGACTTCAGGATGGTATCTAAGAGCCTTAGGATATGTCTTAAGAAACCTATTGTATTGCGTACTATTTTAGATGGTTAAAATTGAGTACCAGGTCATATGGAGAGCAAATAATGGAGAACTGTCCTTTTTTTTGTTAATGCCTCTTTTATTTATAGAATTGAAAACTTTGAAAAAAAAGATTTAGCTCTAGATTTAGCTCTAGGCTTATTGTAAAACAAGGTATTAACTTGATTTGGGAATTTTCTATTGACACTAGATTTATGTTTTTCAGGATAAGATGGAAAGTAAATGTTTGCTAGTAATTGAGAGTAGAAACTTTTCTTTAACCATATATTTTTAAATTTCAGAAAAATTGCCACCAGTTATTTCTAGATTCAAAGGGAATACTAGGTAGATATTGATTTACTTTTTAAAGCTTTAACTGGTTCTTAGGAAAGGTATATAGTATTTGTTAGATTTGGGAGTAATGAGTACCAACAGATAATTTTAATTCTTGTGGTTATGACCAAAACTATGTAGGTGTTGCTTCAGTTGTCAACAGATAGTACGTATACTTTTTCTCTTGTTTAAATAATAATGAGGGGGAAACTTAGTGGCAATTTATGAGTAAGAGGACTTATTTCACCTTGTGGTAGCCAGCCTTTTAACAGACTAGTTTACATCTGTTAATGACTTCCTGTTTAGGGGCACAGAATGCTTTCTAGAGGCTGATTTTTATTTATTTTATTTTTATTTTTATTTTTATTTTGAGACAGAGTTTCGCTCTTGTTGCCCAGGCTGGAGTGCAGTGGCACAATCTTGGCTCACCACAACCTCTGCCTCCCGAGTTCAAGTGATTCTCCTGCCTCAGCCTCCTGCATAGCTGGAATTACAAGCATGCACCACCATGCCCGGCCAATTTTTTGTATTTTTAGTAGAGACGGGGTTTCTCCATGTTGGTCAGGCTGATCTGGAACTCGTGACCTCAGGTGATCCGCCCGCCTTGGCCTCCCAAAGTGCTGGGATTACAGGCATGAGCCGCCGCACCCGGCGAGGCTGATTTTTAAGAAACGCTATTTGATAATTTATCCCTTTAGTGTTTCTGTCTTGGGTCCTGTTGGATCAATTATGGCATATGAGGGCTGAGGTGAGGTAAGAAATCTCCCAGTTTAAATACATACAGTTAACTTGTAATTTATTAAATACTCCTCATTTACTTTGTAATTTTATGTATATGTTTTATTTTATGATATTAGTCTTAGCATACTTGGCTATACCCGTGAGGAGAGTATTGGAAGCTCCAGGGAACTGCAAGTCCGTGATAGTATTTGGAGGGGTTATATGGACAGAAATTGGATTTGGAGATGAATATTGCAGAATTATCTCACATCATCTAAATGCATTATAATTGTGGCTTAGGTGTTTTGTTGTTGTTCTTTCTGAGTATTCATGGTGTAAGAATACACCCATCCTAATACTTAAGTTTTGTTTTCTCATGCCAAGGCTGAGAGCTGTCCTTGTCATTCCCAGGAGAGAGCAGTCATCTAATGTAGAATGTGTGAAAGTCTCTATTAGCTGCTTTATGATGCTCATTAAAAGTAATTTTCATGCTCTGTATGTATGCCCCTTCGTTTTCATTACAATGAGTAGCTGGTTCTTGTTGCTGATAAGTATTTCAGACACATTAAACACAGTAAGAAATGGTAAGTACAGAGTGCTTAACAGGTATTTTTTTTATTTCTCGGATAAAGATAGCAATTTGCACACATTTGGTTTTGATGATTCCTGTTCCCTCCCTGTTTCTCTTGTTAGTAATATCCGCTGTTTCAAGATTGATCAGCCTTCTACAGGAGACGCTTCTGGAGCCCCAGCTGTTTGGAGTCATGGTTACACTGAAGCTTCAGGGGTAAAAAACAAGTAAGTCAGATGAACCTTCAGAGGAAGAACTGCCTCCTGCCTGTCTCACTCCTTTAGTTGGGTAGAAAGAAACTCAGTGCTGTAGCACCCACTTTTCTCATGTAAAATTTCTTTGAGTATTCCAAGTTTCCCCAGAGTGAGGCTCCCTCATGACTTATGTTTGAACATTAAGGGAAGGCCCTGTTTGGAATCACATAGTCTCCCTTAGTAGGAGTCGTTGCTAGGATACAAGGTAACTGACACATTATATCTGTGTAAGACTCCAGTGTTTGGAAAAGGCCTAGGTATTGAAATGCATCCCTGCTCCTTTGAAAAGCCCCTTTATCTTTCTCTGACGCTTGTTTACCAAGCAAAACAGAGATAGTATTAAAGGAGAAGTAGCTTAATTGTGCATATTTAAGATCTCTCATGTTATTGACTATGGAGCTATTTTTACAATCTAAATTAGATTGGCAGGAGTTTGATGTCCATTGCCTCTAATGTCATCTGCTTGTCTTGCCACCAGAACTTGTCCATCTTAATATCTTTTTCTTTTCCATTTTCCCCACCCTCCCCTCTCTTAGATACAGATGTTGATTTTTCCTGAAAAATGTAACCAGGCTTTTCAGGCTTGCTTGTATTATATGAAGAGGCGCTAATAATTAGTACCTAGACAGGTAAAGAATCCTATAAATTAGAATGGTCATAATTTAATTAGCTGAAGTATAAGAACACAGAAGTCTGAAAGTAGGGGAAGAACAGAAAGTGGAGGTAGATCTAATAATAGCTAACATTAGTATTCAACCCTGGGCACACATTAGAATCAGTAAGGTAAAGAAAATTTTTTAAAAGTCTCCCAACCTAGACTCATTAAATCAGAATGTGTTAAAATCTCCCCCAGGTGATTCTAATATGTGTCTAGGCTTCAGAACCACCGACTAGCTGAATACTCTTCATGGAAAATAAAAGGTTTGGAATTGTTGCTGCCATTCTGCCTGCTTTTCTTTGGGACAGAAAACAGCATCAACTCAAATTCTGGATCTGACACATTGATCTTTTCCCCATTCCCTACGGTGTCATTTGGCCTTGTGCTCTCTAGAGAAGAGTTAACAACTCTGTTCTCTTTGCTCAGAAAAGGCAGAATAACCTGAGGAGGTGTGCCTTAGTTCTGCCTGGGCCCCAGCTACTCCCTGATTTCCATGGACTTTGCACAGTATGTCATTGTGTTGGGGCAGAGGGGAATTCGTGTATTCTTTAGCGCACTCAAAGTTTCTTTCTGGAGATCATTACTTTTTAGATCAAAGGATCTTTTATGTCTTCCTTACAAACACTGGTATGTGAAACTGCTCATTTCTGAACACTAATGTGAAATCTAAGATTAGTTTTTAATATCTCTGTGTATTAATGTCTATTATCTACTCAATGTGTCTTAATGGAGCAAGTAACCAAGTAGATCTGGGTGGGCTTTTCGGCATAATTCCCCCTTCCACAATTGTGTCACATAGTACAATGTGTGGACAGCAAAGTGCACTACAACCCTTTGAATTGTTCTAAAGTGAACACACCTTCAGACTACCACCTGCATCCAGAAATAAAAAATGAAGAGTCATTGAAAGATACAAATAAATAAATAAATAAATAGAAAATGGACAGCATGCCAGTAGTCCCAGGCTATGCTTTGCCCTCACTTGATATTTCCCCTTGCTTTTTTTACCCTTTGGTTTTGCCAATAAAGGTTTCTCGAGAGCTTTTTGTTTGGTTTTTTGGTGTTTTTTGTTTTGTTTTTACTTTGTTTGCATTGTCAATGATCATTTAAACAAGCAGTTTGCTGCTTGACACCTTGAAAGAAGGGGAAAACTGTGGTTGTCCTCTCTTCAAATCTCAGTAGACATCTCTTCCTCCTTTGGGGAAACCCAAGAGGGAACTACAGTTGGATAATTAGCCTCTTTTTTTTTTTTTTGAGCTGGAGTTTCACTCTAGTTGCCCAGGCTGGAGTGCAGTGGCGCAATCTCAGCTCACTGCAACTTCCGCCTCCTGGGTTCAAGTGATTCTCTTGCCTCAGCCTCCCAAGTACCTGGGATTACAGGCACCCGCTACCATGCCTGACAAATTTTTGTATTTTTAGTAGAAATGCGGTTTCACCATGTTGGCCAGGCCAGTCTTGAACTCCTGACCTCAGGTGATCCACCTGCCTCAGCCTCCCAAAGTGCTGGGATTACAGGTGTGAGCCACTACTCCCAGCCTAGCCTCTTCTTTAGATTAAAAACCAAACAGGAAACTTCACCAGAAAAGAAATGCCGAGAATGATCACCACTGTACTTAAGAAAAAAGAAAGAAAAAAAAACTACGTTACTGTATTTTTTTTTCGTCTTTCATACTGCCTCATTCCAGCTAGCAAGGGGAGCCTACAGAAGGAAGATGGAATAAAATGACTTTAAAATTTAACTTTGCCACTAATTGCCTTATAATTTTGGATAACTTGTTTTTCTTAGTAAATAGAGGCAAGAATTTCAAAATATTGAGATAGAAGCCAGACTGCCTGGCTTTGCACCTGAGTTCTATACCTATACTTTCTTGCCGTGTGACCATGGGCAGTTTCTCAGTCTCTCTTTAGCTAAAATAAGCAATAAGAAAAAACTACCTATTCTCATGGTGTTGTTAGAGGGTCACGTGAGTTAATATGTATGACATACTTAGAACAATGTGTGCCATATAATAAACCCTATTTAAGTGTTAACTACTACTATTATTGATTATAATGGTCATTGCTATTATTATTTATCCCTGAACTCCTTAAAGGGAGGGATTATATTTTTAAGTTTATATATCTGGTATGTAGCTGGATACATAGCAGGTGCTTAATAATTTTTTTCTCTTTATTTATATATGTAAGAAGGTATACTCTATATTCAGTAAAATTCACCCTTTTTAATGTACAGTTCTGCAAGTTTTGGGGAAAGAATATCATCGCGTGTAACCACCACTACAGGGTATAGACCAGTTCCGTCACCTACCAAAATTTACCCCATGCCCCTTTTTGTCAATTATTCTCCCCAACTCCTGTCCTTGGCAACTCCTGATCTGTTTTTTATCTCATTGATTTTGCCTTTTCCAGAATGTCATATAAAAGGGAATTATATAGTATATGGCCTTCTCATTCTGACTTCTTTCCCATCACATAATGTGTTTGAGATTCATTTGTACTATTGCATGTGTCAGTAGTTTGTTTCTTTTCATTGCTTTTTATTCCTAGTAGCATTCCATTGCATGGACATATTATGGTTTGTTTTTGTTTTACCCATTCACCATTTGAAGGATGTTTAGATTGTTTCAAGTTTTTAGCAGTTGCAAATGAAAATGCCACACGTTGCAAACAGTTACATACAGGTTTTTGTGTGAATGCTTGTTTTCATTTCTCTGGGGTAAATGCCTAGGGGTAAGGATTGCTGGGTCATATGGTAAGTGTGTATTTACTTTGGAAGAAACTGCCAAACTGTTTCCAAAGTGCCTGTATCATTTTGCACTCCCAACAGCAATGTCTTAAGAGTTCCAGTAGCTACACATCCTTACCAGCAGGTGTTATTGTTAGGTTGCTGTTGTTTTTTCCATTTTAATAATAATATCCCATTGTGGTTTTAATTTACATTTCCCTACTCTTTTCATGTGTTTATTTATCATCCATATACATTCTTTGGTGAAAACTTGTTCATTCACAATCAAATGTGATATTAGCTCTAGGTATTTTTGTAGATACTCTTTATCAAGTTAATTCTCTTCTATACAGAGTTTGCTAAGATTTTATAATGAAATCTTAGTTTTTATAATAAACAGATAACACATTTTGTCATAGGCTTTTTCTGTGTCAATTGAGATGACTGTATGTTTTTTTTTTCTTCTTCAGTCTGTTGATGTGCTTAATTACATTGATTGATTTTAAAATGTTAAATACACTTTGCATTCCAAGTGTAAATTCACTTGGTCACAATGTAGTATCTTTTTTTTTTCTTTTTTTTGAGACAGATTTCACTCTTGTTGCCCAGGCTGGAGTGCAATGGCGCGATCTCGGTTCACCGCAACCTCCACCTCCCAGGTTCAAGTGATTCTCCTGCCTCAGCCTCCTGAGTAGCTAGGATTTCAGGCATGCACCACTGTATCCGGCTAACGTTATATTTTTAGTAGAGATGGGGGTTTCTGCATGTTGGTCAGGCTGGTCTCGAACTCCCGACCTCAAGTTATCCTCCCTCCTCGGCCTCCCAAAGTTCTGGGATTACAGGCGCGAGCCACCACGCCTGGCCTGAAGTATTATATTTCTTACATGCTGCTGGGTTAGATTTGCTGTTAATTTGTTGAGGATGTCTATATTCCATGGTGGATATTGGTCTGTAGCTCTCTTGTGATGTCTTTGATTTTGGTATCGGGGTAATGCTGGCCTCATAGAATGAGTTGGGAAGTGTTTCCTCATCTTGAGTTTTCTGGAGGAGTTTGTATAGAATTGGTAATATATCCTTCTTAAATATTTAAAAGAATTCACCAGTGAAGCCATCTGTGCCTGGATTTTTTTTAAAACCTACAATTTCTTTAAATAGGATTATCTCTTCCTTCTTCTTGAACAAACTTTGGTAATTTGTGTCTTTCAAGGAATTTGTCTGCTTTATCTAGTTTTCAAATGTATTGAATGTATTGACATTATGCTTTTTTTTTTTTTTTTTTTTTTTTTTGAGACAGAGTCTCACTCTGTCACCCAGGCTGGAGTGCAGTGGCACAATCTCGGCTCACTGCAGCCTCTCCCTTCTGGGTTCACGCAGTTCTTCTGCCTCAGCCTCCTGAGTAGTTGGGACTGCCGGCGTGTGCCACCATGCCCAGCTAATTTTTTATATTTTTAGTAGAGACGGAGTTTCACCATATTGACCAGGCTGTTCTCGGACTCCTGACCTCAAATGGTCCGCCTGCTTCAGCCTCCCAAAGTGCTGGGATTACAGGCATGAGCCACCATGCCCGGCCCATTATTATGCTTTTAAAATCTGTAGAATCTGTAGAGATATGCCTCCCCTCTCTCATTCCTAATATTGGTAATTTGTGTTTTCTTTTTTCTGATCAGTTTGATTTGGTTTATCAATTTTATTGATATTCTCAAAGAACTAGATTTTTTTTTGTTTTATTGATTTTTCTCTGTAATTTTTCTGTTCCACATTTCTTATGTTTTAAGGGTTTGTTGTTGTTGTTGTTGTTGTTGTTTGAGACGGAGTCTTGTTCTGTTGCCTAGACTGGCCTTAAACTCCTGGCCTCAAGCGATCCTCCTGCCTTGGCCTCTCAAAGTGCTGAGATTACAGGTGTGAGCTATCACAGTCAACTGCTTTTCTTATTTTTATGATTCCCTTTCTTCTTGCTTTGGGTTTGTTATGTACTGCTTTTTCTAGTTTCTTTAAATGGAAGCTTAGGTTATTGATTTGAGACCTCTAATTCTGTAATATAAGCATTTAGAGTTGTAAATTTCTTTCTAAGCAATTTTGCTAATATCGTTGGAGAACATGCTTTGTATGACTTGAATCTTGTAAACTTATTTGGACTTGATTTTTTGTCCAGAATCTTACCTATCTTGGTAAAAGTTCTGTGTGCATTAAAAAAAAAAAAAATTGCTGTCAGGTGTGGTGCCAATTAACTCAAGTTGGTTGATATTGTTGCTCAAGCCTCCTACCAATTTTCTGTCTACTTATTCTGTTGATGATTGAGAGGCTATGAATATGGATTTGTCTGTTTCTCCTTGTAGTTCTATCAGTTTTTGCTTCATGCGTCTTGAAGCTCTGTTAAGTATGTAAACATTTAGAATGATGTAGCCTCTTGATGAACTGACCCCTTTATCATTATGACTCTCTTTATTCCTGTAACATTCTTTATTCTGAAATATACTTTGTCTGATACTAACATAGCCATTTCAACTTTTTTTGGATTAATGTTAGCATGGTATACCTTTAAAAAAATCCTTTTACTTTTAACCTATTTGTCTCATATTTAAAATGGATTTCTTATAGGCAGCATATAATTAGGTCTTTTTTTTTATTCAGTCTGAATTTTTTGTCTTTTGGGTAGTGTTAAGGCCTTTATATTTAATGAAATTATTGATATGGTTAGGTTTAAACCTTCCACCTTACTATTGTTTTCTATTTGTGCCGTCTGTTCTTTATTTCCTTTTTCTTCATTCTTTTGAATTATTTATTATGATTTGATTTTATCTTTATTCATTCTTACTCTACCATGCGTCTCTGTGTGTACATGTGTGGTTTGTTTAGAGTTTATAGTATGATCTTTAACGTACCACTGTTTACCTTCAAGTAGTGGTAATGTCATTTCACATATAAGAACCTTGCAGATATGTACTTCTTCTCCTGTCCTGGCCTTTATGCTGTTGTTGTCGTATGTTCTGCTTCTATCTATGTTATAACCTCTAAAATACATTACTATTATTTTTACTTTAGTTATTTTCTAAAGCGGTGTTTCTCAACTTTAATACCATTAACATTTTGAACCAGATAAATATTTGTTGTTGCCTCCCAGTAATTATTAGAATATTATTGAATAGTCTATTGAGAATCACTGTTCTAAGGTGATTTTTAAAATAAGAAAATGAGGCTGGGCACAGTGGCTCATGCCTATAATCCCAGCATTTTGAGAGGCCGAGGCGGGCGGATCACTCGAGGTCAGGAGTATGAGACCAACCTGGCCAACGTGGTGAAATGCTGTCTCTATAAAAAATACAAAAATTAGCTGGGCATGGTGGCGAGTGCCTGTAATCCCAGCTACTCGGGAGGCTAAGGCAGGAGAATCACTTGAACCCGGGAGGCAGAGATTGCAGTGAACCAAGATCACACCACTGCACTCCAGCCTGGGTGACAGAGTGAGACTCCATCTCAAAAAAATAATTTAAAAAAAACATAAGGAAATGTTTCTGTTGACTCACCTGGCTATCATTATCGTTGTGCTTCATCATTATCGTTGTGCTTCATTCTTTTGAACAGGTCCGGATTTCCATCTGGGATCATTTTCTTCTACCTTAAGGATTTCCTTTTCCATTTCTTTAGTGCCAGCCTGCTGGTGGTAAATGCTTTTATTTGTGCATCTGGAAATGTCTTTATTTCCCCTTAACTTTTCATAGCTGTTTATACTGGCCTAGAAATCTAGGTTGTTTTCTAGTTGTTTTCCATTGGTACCTTCAAGGTGTTGCTCCACTGTCTCCTACCAGGTTTCCAGGGAGAAGCCTGCTGCTGGGCACATCCTGGTTTCCCCACTCTACCTCCCGCCTTTGTTCCTGGTTTCTAGCAATTTGATTTTGATGTGTCTCAGTTAAGTCTTTTTCATGTTTCTCTTGCTTGCAGTATCTGTAGGTTTATAATTTTCTTCATATTTGAAATGTTTTCAGCCATCAACTCCTCAAAAGTGTTTTCTGTCTCTTCTTTTGAAGACTCCAATTCCCTGTAGTATATTAGGCTGTTTGAAGTTGTCCTGCCACTCACTAATATCCTGGCCTTATTTTTTTTTTCCAGTCTTTTTTTTTTCTCTCTGTTTCATTTTGGACAGTTTCTGGGACACAGTTACTTGGAAACAGTTTGATTCTTTTGAGTTTGGGGTGGAGAAAGTCTCCAAATTTTCCACAGGTGCGGGGAACCACTGTCCTCTTCCAGTGCACTGACTGGAGACTCTGGTCACCCTGTCCTCCTTCAGCCCCCAGCTCTATCTCCTCAATGCACAGACCACAGCCTTCACCTGGGTCTTCCTCCCTGTGCTGCAGCCTGGACACTTCCCCAGGAGAAAGCTGGGCGGGAAGCAGGCTCTCTCCAGGATCACTGACCTGTGCTCTTACTGTCCAGTTGGGGTTTGTTTGTTTGTTTTTTCTGCCTTTTAAAAAAGTTATTTGAAGACTGGGCATAGTGGCTCACACCTGTAATCCCAGCACTTTGGGAGGCTGAGGCTGGCAGATTGCTTAAGCTCAGGAGTTGGTGACCAGCGTGACCAACATGGTGAAATCCCATCTCTACTAAAAATACAAAAATTAGCTGGGCGTGGTGGCGTACTCCTGTAGTCCTAGCTACTCAGGAGGCTAAGGTGGGAGAATCGCTTGAACCCTAGAAGTGGAGACTGCAGTGAGCCAAGATCACACTACTGCACTCCAGCCTCGGTGATAGAGGGAGACCCTGTCTCAAAAAAATAAAAATAAAAATAACTTTTGTGAAGTCATTTGAGGCTTTTTCTATATTTGTGCATGCTTTTCATATAGGTTTCATCTATTTTTCCCAGTGTTTTCATTGTCTATTTTGGCTGGATGTGGAGATTCTCCTTAATAACTGCTTATTGAATGAATGCGTAGATATGGATTCCTAATCTCTTATCTCCCATGACTCTTTTTCCCCTTCTGTCACTGACATTTAAAAATAAACTCATCAGAAGAGAAGCACGTAGGAAGGCATGTGTGAAGCATAATTTGTGCTCATCCTTCTCTGCTAATCAAAATTTGCTGATAGAAATTAGCTGGAGTCAGTTTACCTGCCCTTAATCTGTCTGGAGTCACAAAGAAAGAGACAAAACTGAGATAGGGAAATCTTGAAATAAATAAGCACTGGGCTGGGCCTGGAGCAGGAGGATGAGTGGACTCAGCACAGAAGTGTGGTTGCCTTGCAGGTTGTGTGTCGCAGCCCTGTCGGTGAATAACTTCTGTGACAACCGCGAAGCCCTCTACGGTGTGTTTGATGGAGACCGGAATGTGGAGGTGCCCTACCTTCTCCAGTGCACCATGAGTGACATTTTGGCTGAAGAGCTGCAAAAAACAAAAAATGAAGAAGAATACATGGTCAATACATTCATTGTCATGCAAAGGTAAAACTCAGAGTTCCTGCTTACCTGCTGTATGTTTTTTTGCTCTTTGAGTGTTTATCCTCTGTGTTTTGACTATGAGTACCAAGATGCATTCAGGCAAGTTTGGTGTTGCCCAGGCATCAGGAATGGTGCTCCAGTTTGAGACATACTGATGTTCATATAACTTTGTGGAAGGCTCCGACAATGACAAGGAATTAGTTTCTCTGAGAACTGGACCTTACTGGCCTTTATTGATTGCAGATTTTCATCAGATTGTTTGCAATGCCATTTTTCCTCCCAAATCATGTGAGCTCTGGAGGCTTTTTAGACTTTCTGGTGTGGGGACCTCTCTTTGAAATGGACCGTTTCTATCCTAGTTTCTTGGCCCTTATGAAATACTATCACTGGTTTGAGGTAGTGCAAGCCTTTGTTAAATCAAGATGGTCAGATTTTAGCTCAGGAGTTAAATCATTCTTTATATTTTGTTTTCCCCTTTATTAAATGTTCAAGACAGTGTTACTGGCAGAATCCTAGGCCATAGCCTGGAGTTTCCACCAGCAGCAGAGTTTTAGGTTGCTATAGAAATTGTGGTATATTGTTTGTAACTCTTAGATGAGTGAGGATTCCCTCATTCAAAGAATTGTTCATTCTTACCACCTTCATGGCTTTCTAGGTGATAATGGAATTGCCTGTCTATAAATATTGTACTGCAGACTCGCTCATGTGGGACCCAGGAGTGATCAGCGTACTGGTACTTGAGGTCATGATAGCAGTCATGGTCTTTTGTCCTTATCTGTTCTTTCTCTCCCTTGATACTCTGCCAGAGCAAGTAGCTTTGTTAAGGGGGTAGAAGAAGTGTCTGGGGAGGAGTGTTCAGAGCAGCATTTACAGTGATACCTGCGTCTCAAATGGTTCCTCTCAGAGAGCTTGGTGGAGGCAAGCCTGGGGTGGTTCTTGCTGCTACAGTCACCTCTGACTTTCAGATTCTCAGTGAGCATGTACAATTAGCAATTGAACAATAATGACTAATATCCAGCAAGCCCTTAATATGTACCAGTCATTGTTCTAAATTTTACCTTATGTGTCATAAATTGTTACCAGTTAGCGGAGTAATGTTACTGAAAGTCATGTACAGAGAGGTGAAGCACAGTGCCTACGGGCTAGTAGGTAGTGCAGCCAAGACCTGACCTCGGATTGTAAGACTCCAGAGGATGTTCTAACTAGCAGGCACATCAGCTTTCCTGGTTTTACCACCCTTTTGTTCTAGAAAAACATCTAGCATGTATCATATGCACACACATACACATGTGCACACAGACCAAAGCACAAACACATCCCTTCACAACCCCCAAGAGGTCTGCTTTTTATGCACCCTCAAGCACTGGTAAGAATTAAACACTGAGAACCCCAATCTCAGATTACTTGCCATACTTTTTACGAATCACTGTGCCTAGGAAAGGGAGAAAATGGAGCTGCCTTGGAAAGGTCTAGAGCCAAATACCTGAAAGTTGGAGTTTAGGAGCCTAAACTGTCGGCCCTTCTCCAGGGTCTTTTGTGTTTCTCTTATTTTCCCTATCTGTTAAGAGGGTATGGGTTGTGTGGTGAGCTTTGGGTCCTTAGGGGAACTGGTCTTTGTGCAGGATTTCCTAATGCATGCAAGTAGGCAGCCCTGGTTTCCATTGCTCCTCTTGCCAGTTGCTTACCTTACACATGTGATAGTAGCAGACAGTACCTTAGGGTCTGGCCTTGTAAAACAGGAGGCTGTTTTTCTTAACTTTCTTGCTCCTGTGCCACTCAGGAACAGCAGGGGCCTGGGCGGTGTTACCATTTGTGGGGCTTGCCATAGGAGTTCATGAGGCCATGGGAGCAATAATGGTCTTTTGTCCCTCTCTGCCGTTTCTCTCCCTTGATAATCTGCCAGAACAAGTAGCTTTGTAAGAGGGGTTTTTGATTTTTGATTTTCAGAATTTGCAGGTGCTTCCTATATTTGATAAGTCTGTGGATTAATTGTCATGATTAAAAAGATAAATCACAAGCACTTGGTATTCGATTACTAGAATGTCCTTTCTATGAGTTTTCTAGAATAGAGGGTACTGGGCCAGAAAGTTTTTACTATATAGGGCAGGAGCATGAACACTCCAATACTTAAAGGCTCCTACCAGCAAACATCCTTAGAAGGGGGAGAGGGTTGTCAGGTTTTTCTGACGTGTGCCTGCCAGTGGGGTAGGGTGTTTATACCTGCTCTTATGTGCATGGTTGTTTCAATGTTCCTCTCCTGTGGACAGAGGGAATTTAGAGAAGCAGAGAGAGAGAGAAGTCATTTTCCTGCTGTCTTTGGAGTGTGCTGATAGGGCAGCGTGGTTGACGAGGGTAAACAGGCTGTATACAGCAGCCCAGGGGCATCTGCTTTCCAGAGCAGCACCTGTGGCTTTTAGTGGTACAGTGATACTGTCTCCCAGTTGTGAGCCTCTCTGTGTGGATGTGTGTGGCGTCGGATTCCGGGGCTCTTTTCATCAAAGAGGCGGAGCAGTGTGTGCTTCGATGAAGGAAGCGGAGTGGAATCCCCAGAGGTCTCCTTCCTGGCCCTGTCCAGTGGTGCAGTCTTCGTGTTGAATTTGCAGAACTGGCACTGATGGACTGTGTTTGAGTGTCACCCCCTCTCTTCGGATTCCAGGAAACTTGGAACTGCTGGGCAGAAGCTTGGTGGTGCCGCTGTCCTTTGTCATATCAAGCATGACCCTGTGGACCCAGGAGGATCCTTCACCTTGACCTCTGCTAATGTGGGCAAGTGCCAAACAGTTCTCTGTCGAAATGGAAAGCCACTGCCTCTGTCCAGATCTTACATCATGAGCTGTGAAGAAGAGCTGAAGAGGATTAAACAGCACAAGGCCATTATCACTGAGGTGAGAAAAGAGGGCTTTTCCCCAGGATGGTGGAGAGGAGAGGAGACCAGATCATAGCAGAAACTAGCTAGGGAGCATTTGCCTTCAAAGAACACTTTTTGAAGTCGGTTCGACATTAGAATTCCAAACCCATAGTATCACAAAGCAAATGTCTTACATTATGACGTATGCTTGTCAGTTGCCTCTCTGCATCAGGCACTGTGCTGCGTGCTTCGTGGGCACGATCCCATTCCATGTTTGCAGCCACTCTACAGAGGGCTGCTTTGGTGGTTGAGGGCTCTACCCCTGACATCACACTACTAGTTTTCATGTCTTAGCTCTGCCACTTGCAGGCTGTAACCTTTAAACCTCTCTAAGCCTCAGTTTTCTCACCTGTAAAGTGGGAATAATCATGCATCTGTCCTATCTTACAAGGTTGGTACGACTTGTAAACTATGAAGGTCTATGTAAGTGTAAGTCGTTGTTATTTTGGTTCATGTCTCACGTCTCATTTGAGTACACAGTGAGCAGTTCTCAGCTAGGGGCAGTTTGCTTCCCCACAAGACGTTTGGCAGCATATGGAGACATTTTTGGTCATCACAGTTGGGGCGGAGAGTGCGATTGGCATGCAGTGGATTGAGACCACTGAGCATCCTACAGCGCTGCTAGGACAATGCCGCTCAACACCCCACAATGCACAGGGCAGTCCCCACAGCACGGACTGTGGTGTGTGTGTTTGGAGGACGTGTCTCAAGGTAGAGAAGTAAAATACAATACAAAACAAAACCTCATTGTTGAGTATTAAGCAATGCAAACAAAAGCGGGGAAGAGGCGAGGCACGGAAAACAAGAGAAGTCTGACGTGCAAACCATGATTCATGTAGGCTGCTGAAATCATTTACCTTCAATTGTGTTTGGCATAGTGTTGAACTAAAGTTGAATTCAGTGCATTCTGTCCACATTAGACTGTCTTCTGCTCCCTAACACAGTGTCTGCCATCCATGTTCATCCTCTCTGCTCCAAGAATAGACAGAGAACAAATTCACACAGACTCATTTGCACAGAATCCCATGTATAGCTTGAGTGTTTCTGTTTCTTTCTTAAGGCCCTCATCAAAGCCTATGTGGAATCAGTCTTTTTTCTCTACTGGACTATAAGCTTTCACCAGAGTCCACCTCAAACTGTACGTGGTTCTGTGGGTTTTATCAACAGTGTAAGACTGGAAACTTCTTGAAGGTAGATGTTTATCTGCAGGTCACTGCTGTCTGCCCATGTCATTTTTTCAGGCACAGGGCAAATGACCAACACCTTGATGAATTAGCGAATGGAGCAGAACTCCTGGAGCCCATGTTGGAAGCTTCAGTGCTCATGAATCACAAAACCATTGGTTCTGATGGAGAGAAATCTAAAGGGATGGGCAGAACAGCAAGAACAGTTTCTGCCAAATTCCATGCTTTGGGGACAGATTATGTCAGTAGAATCAAGGCAGTTTAAGGTTGTGCTTGAAGCCCATCTTACTAATTGTACTAATAGGAATGCTTATCTGCTTATAAGTGTGGTGTGGCAAAGTTGTGTGAGAAGCTGGGAAAGACATCCCTAGGACAAGCAGGCACCTTGCCAAATCCCAAATAAAGGAAAGTGGTAGGACTGGAAAGGAAATGGATGTTCTCTGGAAGAAACACTTGCTCATCCCAGACAGGGATTTGTTGTAATGAAGCCTTTCCTGGAAAGAGGTGTTAAAACTAGGGCATGTAGAGATATGTCATGGACCTTAGAATCTCAAAATTTGAAGAATAAAGAACAAAGCAGGTACACATGGAAAAAAAAATCTTTTTATTGGCAAGTGGTCTGGCACTTTGGTAATTGATTTAAATAGCATGCACACAGCTGAACTAAAGCCAGCAGATCTTGCCTTCTCCATTGGTCAACAGGAAATCAAGTTCGAGGAAGTTGTAAGAATTGGCATTTCTTCTTTAGCATCTGTTCTCCTGACAGGAGCATTCTTACCCACCTAGTCATGCCAAGGTTTTCTCCACCTCTTAAGTACTTTCAAGTCCTCTCTGGACTTTTAGACACTACAGCCACTTGTGATCATGGAGAGCAATGGAAGATTCAGGAGCATTGTCTTGATATATGCCTGCCTCGTGTATCTTTGCTCAGGACTGGCTTCTGTCAGAAGGACTCTTCCTACCTCAGAGTCTTCCTACGCCCAGCCCGTCTGAGGGCCGATCCTTGATCACCATGTTCACTGAGGGAGGGAAGATGTAAACCCACCTTTATAGGAGGAGCTGGCCAGCTATGCTTGCTGTGTGTAAGGCTAGATGATGGCTTGCTTTAGATAAACAGCAGGACTTGTGACCTAGTGTGAATGGGGTCCCAGTAACACACATAACCAAAATCTTTTCCTTTTGTCCCTACTGCTCTTTACCTGCCCAGGCCTACTACCTGGGGTTTCTGATGACAGGTGCACATTAACTACTCACTAGAGAGTGAGCCCTTCTTTCCTCTGTGGGCCACACAGCACTTCTTTGTGGTCCTACAGTTGAGACAGTCGAAGGACCCGCAGGGAACCTGCACAGTTGCCACAGGTGCTCTGTATTAACTGTCTCTCTGCAAACCCTTGTTCTTCCAGGATGGCAAGGTGAACGGGGTGACTGAGTCCACGCGCATCCTGGGCTACACCTTCCTCCACCCCAGTGTGGTGCCTCGCCCCCACGTGCAGTCCGTGCTCCTGACCCCCCAGGATGAGTTCTTCATCCTAGGCAGTAAGGGGTTGTGGGATAGCCTGTCCCTCGAGGAGGCCGTGGAGGCCGTGCGCAATGTTCCCGACGCCCTGGCTGCCGCCAAGAAGCTGTGTACCCTGGCCCAGAGCTACGGCTGCCACGACAGCATCAGCGCTGTGGTGGTGCAGCTCAGTGTCACCGAGGACAGCTTCTGCTGCTGCGAGCTCAGCGCCGGTGGGGCCGTGCCACCACCCAGCCCTGGCATCTTCCCTCCCTCAGTGAACATGGTGATCAAGGATCGGCCCTCAGACGGGTTGGGCGTGCCGTCCTCCAGCAGCGGCATGGCTTCCGAGATCAGCAGTGAGCTCTCCACTTCCGAGATGAGCAGCGAGGTGGGGTCCACAGCCTCCGATGAGCCCCCGCCCGGAGCCCTAAGCGAGAACAGCCCTGCCTACCCCAGTGAGCAGCGCTGCATGCTCCACCCCGTCTGTCTGTCCAACTCCTTCCAGCGCCAGCTGTCCAGCGCCACGTTCTCTAGCGCCTTCTCCGACAACGGCCTTGACAGTGACGATGAGGAGCCCATCGAGGGCGTCTTCACCAATGGCAGCCGGGTGGAGGTGGAGGTGGACATCCACTGCAGCCGGGCCAAGGAGAAGGAGAAACAGCAGCACCTGCTTCAGGTGCCAGCAGAGGCCAGCGATGAGGGCATTGTCATCAGCGCCAACGAGGATGAGCCGGGTCTGCCCAGGAAGGCAGACTTCTCTGCCGTTGGGACCATTGGGCGCCGGAGGGCCAATGGCTCTGTTGCGCCCCAGGAAAGGAGCCACAATATGATAGAGGTGGCTACAGATGCACCTCTTCGAAAGCCTGGAGGCTATTTTGCTGCCCCGGCTCAGCCAGATCCCGATGATCAGTTTATCATACCCCCGGAGCTGGAAGAGGAGGTCAAAGAAATCATGAAGCATCACCAGGAGCAACAGCAGCAGCAGCAGCCACCACCGCCACCTCAGCTCCAGCCGCAGCTGCCGCGGCACTACCAACTGGACCAGCTGCCAGATTATTACGACACGCCACTATGACCCAGCCGAGCTATTTAACAAATAAACTAACCACAAAATACCAAGTTGCAAGAGTCTCTCAGGCTCACATTAAACCAGGGGTTTTACTCCACGTCCTTCCCCCGGACACTGTTCCCAACCTGTCGTCGCAGCTAATCTGTAGGTTCTCTTTCTTTGGGTTATTTTTTAAAATAATCACCACTTTCTTCTAGTGATGCTTTACCAATATGATTTACATTTGTTAACTTCTCCCCCTAACATATCAGATATGTAAAGACAAAGAGCAAAAGGTTTAATATATTACAGAGAAACAGTTAATGATAATGTGCTATTTTTTAAAATGGCTTTTTGTTGTTTTGTTTGTTTGGAAGGCAGGGCAGGCTGCCGTTGCTAAATGATTTAATAATATTGTAATTCTGTATTTCTTTGGGGGGAAAAGGATTTTTTTTTTTTTTTTTTTTTTTTTTTTGGTCTTGAAAATAATAGACATTTGTAGAATATGGAGACTAACTCCTAGGAGTTGCTTTACTCTGTCAGGTGACTTAAGTCACTGGGATTCACTAATTTTCTCTGAGAGAACAGCGATTGAGAATTTCTATTGTAAATAGCTCAGTGTTGTATAGTGAGGCTTACGATGTTTTGTAGTCTTGGCGTGAGGACACAGCCCAAGTAACTGACGTTTCCCCTTCCCCTCCCCTCTGAGGAGCCTGCCTGCCTCCCAACTCACCCTCACTTCACTGAATGAGGAGGCTGAGCAGCTGCAGCGTTTCTGTCCAGAGGAAGTGGATCTTAGGCCACCACACAAGAGCCTGCACCCAAAGGCCCTAAACCCGTTTTCCTCCCTGTCCCAGCCTCTCCACTTTGACAGACAATTTTTAACTGTGTTCCTTACTGCTGCCACAATCAGCATGGCTGTATAGTGCCCCATTAGGCCATTTACATACCCAGAGTTACACTCAAGCAGAATGCACAAATGGACATGTCATAATTTTTGTTATAATAAATATGAAATTTACAAGTATTTACAAGTATCTGCTTTTGTCTCAGCAGCCAGATGTGTCTTGGAGACAGTCACACTAGCTTGGGTTTGGAAAGAATGGATGGAATATTGGGGTTATCAGATATTTCTGATTTTTTTTTAAAGAGAAAAACATCCGTTAACCTACATTGAATGAAATGTGAAATTAACTGAATACTAAACAGTATAATTAGCTGATCTTATAGCTTTTCTTTTCTTTTCTTTTCTTTTCTCTTTTCTTTCTTTTCCTTTTCCTTTTTCTTTTTCTTTTTCTTTCTCTTTTTCTTTTTGAAATGGAGTCTCACTCTGTCTCCCAGGCTGTAGCGCAGTGGTGTGTTCTCTGCCCACTGCAACCTCCGCCTTCCGGGTTCAAGTGATTCTCCTGCTTCAGCCTTCTGAATACTTGGCATTACAGGCACACACCACCACGCCCAGCTAATTTTCATATTTTTAGTAAAGATAGGGTTTCACCATGTTGGCCAGGCCGATCTCATACTCCTAACCTCAAGTGATCCGCCTACCTCAGCCTCCCCAAAGTGCTGGGATTATAGGTGTGAGCCACCGTGCCAGGCCTGATCTTACAGCTTTTCTATTTCTTCTTATGACTTAGGGTAAGATGTTTGGGTACTTCTTAGGGAAGATGTGAGAAGGGGGACAGACAGAGGTTGTACAGATAGAGGCGATCCCTGGACAACTTTACTCTCACGAAGCCAAGATGGTTTTCAGTTTTCTGGGGGCCTGTAGCTCACATAAGCGGGTTAAGCTGCCTCTTACTGGGACAGGGTCAGTCGAGCTGGTTGGCTTGCCCTCCACCACCAGCAGGAATCATGTAGGTGCAGCGGCGTATCCTTAGAAAGCCAGTATTCCCAGCTACTACTCAACCGCGTTTACAGACAGTGGGCCTCCGCCCTCACCTCGCCCCCACCCTGCACTTGGGAACCGTGTGTGGAAGATACTGTTGGTCTTCATTTCACATGGACCACCTTCCTATGTAGACCTGGCTTTCTTCTTTAGGTCCGCCCTTGGGTGGGACCTGGCTAGTTCAGTGACAGGGTAGTTCTTATTTCTTAACTAGTAGACTCGGTGGTGGGCTCTGCATCCCCCTCTAGGAGGCCGCTGGGTGGACTTTGTCTTCATAATGGCCGTACTTCACTTCCATGTCAGGCTACTTGCACACAGTGCTCTTTGGAAACCACTGAGGCCATGGAAGAGAATTGCCTCATCTCGGCCCAGTGAGGGACCCAGGGACCAAGGGAGCTGACTCCCCAGTGCAGGCGGAGCACTCTGGCTGAGACTGGAAGCTGAACCACCTCGGGACCCCTGCCCTGGTTCACTTGCCAGCCCCTTGCCTTCTCCCTGGGGCTGCCCCACTGGGTTGAAGCAGATGTGGACAACTCCAAGCTTTCACGCCAATGCCTTAGGTCCTGCAGGTCTGGGCTGGTTCTCTGACTTCCTCAGTTCTTAAATCCACCTCTGGGCAGGGTTCACCTGTCCCCGTGGCTGGAGCAGACCCAGGCCGTGTATGTGGATCTCTTCCACTGCAGCTCACTTCCAGAGCGGTCAGAACCGGCTCAGCGTGGCCCACGGAGGCAGCAGTCGCTTCCAGATTCTAAAATCGGCCCCATAGCAACTCTGGCCGGGGCAGCCCCTGGGACCCAGAAGCTGTGATGCAGGGACGCCTCATTTCCTAACTTCTGTGTCTGCTGCAGGAGAAAGGGGTATGAGGCTTGGAATTGCTCTTTTCCTGAGTCCTCCGGTTTAGTTGTGCTTGCTGCTGGGTTTATTGTCTCTTACGGTCTCATTGTGCACATACTACATGTAAGGCACCTTGGAGATATGGAGTGAGACTCTGCCCTTTGGAGGCTTGGGGTAAGTAGGGCATTTAGATGAAAAGCTAATTCAGTCGAGCACATGATGAGTGACCAAAGTGGCACAGACTTACTGATAGGTCTCCATGCTCTTGCATGGGAGCTGCCTCAGTTATTTCTGAGGAGTTTCTTTGCATTTCTGTTTATCCAGATACCATCTAATAGTATATGTAGAGCTGCTTATACAACTGAAAGTGTTTTCTGAATATTAAAGTCCTTAATATTTGAAGATCCCTGAAGCCACAGTGTCTGCAGGGTAAGTGCTAAGGAGAAGGGCATCCCCGCCTGCTCTATTCCCTGCTTCCTGCTGGAAATCCAGGTAATTAGGAAAGGGCTTTTGAGGGGAGAGAAAGGAAGAAATGAAAGCGAAAGGGGAGAGCTCTGGTGAGCCTTGCCAGGAGAAGAGCCCCTGATCAAGGACCCTTGAAACTGTTTGGTGTTGGATCCAGTGCGTGCTGCCCACCCTGTGCTGCCCTCAAGCTTCCTGCCCTTTGCTCCCGCTCCTGAACACTGGCTTTGATGAGAGGTAGCAGAGCCAATCTCTGGGGCCCAGAAACCCCACCTGCCTGCCTTGGTTTCTCTTGATTGCTTTTGTCACAGCACCACCTGCTGGTAAGCTTAGACTTTGGGTGGAAATGGGCTTCATTCTTCTTTATCCTTTCTTCACTTTCCCAGAAGAAACAAAGTGTTTAAGTTTCTTATCACTGTATTTTCCTAAACACATGATAGCAATCTCCTATACCACTGGCAAGTATAGCAGAGAAGCTGTGTTTCCGCTTTTGTTTCCGCTTTTTAAGACAGTAGAAGTGATGACAGCTGGTTCCTGTGATGAGCCTGATTTTCCTTGGGAAATCGACATGCAGAAATATTAAGATGTATAACCAGAATCATATAGTTTTGCTGGGAGAGAAGTCTGTCTTCAACATCCATCTAATTTCCAATTCCCCTTTCTCCACGGTTAAAAAAAGCGAAACCCAAAGCATCTGTTAACATGTTTTGGACCTCATAGGATAACACCTGAGAGTCCCCTCACCACTGGCACTGCAGGGGAGAGAAGAATTCCATTTGATCATGTGAACATTCATCAAAGGGTATTTTGAGTTCATTCCTGACATGGTATCAGAAGATAGAATTTCAGGCCGGGCACGGTGGCTCATGCCTGTAATCCCAGCACTTAGGGAGGCCGAGGCAGGTGGATCACCTGAGGTCAGGAGTTCGAGACCAGTCTGGCCAACATACTGAAATCCCGTCTCTACTAAAAATACAAAAATTAGCCAGGTGCGGTGGTGCATGCCTGTAATTCCAGCTACTCGGGAGGCTGAGGCTGGAGAGTTGCTTGAACCCAGGAGGCGGAGGTTACAATGAGCCGAGATCACGCCACTGGATTCCAGCCTGGGTGATAGAGACTCTGTCACACACACACACAAAATTCTTATTATTATTATTATACTTTAAGTTCTAGGGTACATGTGCACAATGTGCAGGTTTGTTGCATATGTATACATGTGCCATGTTGGTGTGCTGCACCCATTAACTCGTCATTTACATTAGGTATTTCCCCTAATGCTGTCCCTCCCCCTGCCCTTCACCCCACAATGGACCCTGGTGTGTGATGTTCCCCACCCTGTGTCCAAGTGTTCTCATTGTTCAATTCCCATCTCTGAGTGAGAACATGAGGTGTTTGGTTTTCTGTCCTTGTGACAGTGTGCTCAGAATGATGGTTTCTAGCTTTATCCATGTCCCTGCAAAGGACGTGAACTCATCCTAAAAACAGATAGAATTTCTATAAAGTGTGGATTTCTGGTATCTGCCTAACCTAACTCTCCAGCAATCAAATTAGGTCATGTATTTGAAGTAATTTAAATGCTAAATACTAAATACATGTAAATATTGTCATTGCTACAAATGAAGGAACTAAGGGGGGTCTGAAAGAAAATAATGGGGAATGCAGCAAAAGCACCTTTTTAAGCCAGGTATGGTACTGTGGGCCTGAAGTTAGTCCCGGCGACTCGGGAGTCTGAGGCTGGAGGATCACTTGAGCCCACGAGTTCAAGGCCAGCCCGGGCAACACAGCAAGCCCCCCCACCCCCGTCTCTTTAAAAAAAAGAAAAAAGTACCTTTTTAAAAATGGGAAACTCTTAAGGCATTATTGAAGTTGTTACAGAAGGAAAAGCACTGGTAATGATGGAGAAAATGGGCTTCTCTCGTCTGTTGCATTTCATTTTCCTTTGCATCTCTGACTCACACTGTACAAACTAGTCTATGGAAACTCTTATTTCACTATCGTCATTTATCTGTTGTGAACTGATTCTTATTGCTGTGTATTTGAAAGACGGCTCTAAGGTGGTTTTTTTTCCCCCTAAGCCTCACCCCACTCAGCACCAAAATTACAACAAAGTTCCGACCTAGTACAGCGAATCTATTGCTCTGCTCAGTAAATGAATGTAGGAATCACATCCAGCAGACAAAGCTTTGGGCTGGTGATGGAAAGCACACGCCACCGCTCACACCCACCTGCTTCACTGTGTCCGTTCATTCAGCGTGTTTAGGAAACACCAGTAAAGAGCTGGTTACCTTGCGTGACTGTGCCTCACCAGCACGGGGCCTTGAGAAAATGGCTTGGTGTGGAGGTGGCTGTGCTAACCTCATGAGGGTGTGAGCCAGCATGAGGATGGCCTAAAGCCCACACGAATGGCAGAAGCCAGTGTGGAGGCCCCCTACATTGTCCTGTTCCTTCTGGAAAACTAAGGTTGAACACTGCCAAGGAAATGGGCAGATGGGTCCCCAAGACGGCCGTCCGTTTTCTGGGGTGTGTGATAGAAAGCAGGAGGCTATGCTGTCCCCAGCGCTGATGTGAGTACCCATAAACAAGCACGGCATTTCTCGAACTTCGGTTCATTAGTCCCTTCATTTTATGCGCAGGCAGAAACACAGTGTTCTTCCATCCTGTTCAGAGGGGGAGGCAACAGAACACTTGGAGAATTTTCTTCCATCTGCTCGTGACTGGAATTACTCTGATTGTCAGTCCTCCGCTTTTCTAAGGACAAGGAAGGAAAACTGCCTGCACTGAAATCACAAGTACTTTCTTGTCATTTGGTTTCTTAGGTCGTATTCCATTCTGGTAAGCTGGCACTT